ACATTAGCAAAAGTGGTGAAGAAAGCAGATGGTGCCTGGCTATCAAATGATACAGCATCTGGGGTCCCACATGCTGGAAGATGAGAACTGAGAAACAACAAAACCCACATGGAAGAAGCACATCAGCCTGTAAGATGACGAGGCGGCGAAGGGGTCAGGTATCAGGCATCAAAGACCAAAAAATAAAAGAAGCCATAACATTATGAATGAAGGGGAGTGCAGAGTGGGAACCCAGGGCCCATGCGGGGGAAATTGGACATCCCCTTGCAGAAGGGCTGTGGGGAGGAGAGGAGCAAATCAGAGTGCAGTGTAGTAACAATGAAATATGCAATTTTCCTCTAGCTCTTAAATGCTCCCACACACACACACACTACCATGATCCCAAATCTACCTTACATATCCAGCTGGACCGGAGGATGTGTACAGGCACAGATAGGAACTGGAAATACAGTGAACCCAGGACAGATGAACCCCCCAGGACCAGTGGAGAGAGTGGCGATAGCATAAGAGTGGAGGGAAGGTGAGGGAGAAAAGGGGAACAGAGGACAAGGTCTACATATGGCCTCCTCCCTGGGGGACAGACAGCAGAGAAGTGGGTGAGGGAGACGTTGGATGGGGAAACATGATAAAATAATAATTCATAAATTATCAAGGGGGAGCGGCGAGGGAGGGGGAAAAAGGAGGAGCTGACACCAAGGGCTCAAGTGGAAAGCGGGTGTTGTGAGAATGATGAAGTCAACATATGTACTAATGTACAGATTGTGATGAGTTGTATGAGCCCCTAATAAAATGATTATTTAAAAAATTAAAAAATGTGCTGGAAAAACTCAGCTTACACCCAAGTATATATGGTAATTAATGCTGGGCATCTCATCAGGTGATCAGTGGTCATTTATGTTTTAATGGTCTTTTTATTGCTGCACTTACAAGTTCTTTATTTATTTAAAACTTGAGCCTTTTCAGATATGATTTGAAAATTATTTACTCCCATTCTGTAGTTTGTCTTTTCGTTTTTTCGATGGTGTCATTTGAACAACAAGCACAAATGAATTTTGAGAAAGACCAATTTAGCAATTTTTTTCCGCATGCTTTTTTGTCTCCAATCTAAGAAACCACTTCCTAACTCCTGGTCACAAAGCTGTACTAGCAGGTTTTCCTCCAAGAGTTGTGTGGTGTTGTTGGTCTTGCTCCATTTTGACTTCATTTGGCTGCATGGTGTGGGAAAGGTCCAACCCCGTGCTGTGCGTGTGCTGTCCACTTTCCCAGCATCATTTGCTGAAAAGATTACTCTCGTCAAAAATCAAACTGGTCATACATGCTAGTTGTTTATTTCTGGATCCACTGGCTTATTTGCATATCCTTATGTCAGCATCACACAGTCTTGATGACTGTCATTTTATAGTAAGTTTTGGAATCTAAGAAGTCTCAAATGTATTCTTTTCCAAGACTGCTCTGAGTATTCTGATTGTCTTGCAATATCATGAATTTGAATCTGCTTGTCAATGGCTGGGAAGAAAAGGGCAGCTGGGACTATGACAGGAGTGTGTAAAATCTGCAGATGGTAACAGCGATGTCTTAATATGAAATCTTTCCAAAAAATGACATTATCTTTCAACTAAGTCTTCTCTTAATTTCTTTCCATGACAGTCTTCATAGTCTTTTTAAGTCAAATAATATTTTTTTAAATACTTATATTGGGGGCTTTTACATCTCTCATCACAATCCATACATTCCTCCAGTGTGTCAAGCACATTTGCACATATGCCGCCATCATCATTTTCAAAGCATTCTCTTCCCACTTAAGCCCCTGATAACCGCTCCCCATTTCTTCCCCTCCCTCCCCCACTCACCTTCCCCCACGAACCCTTGATAAGCTATAGATTATTTTTCCGTATCTTACATCATCCTCGGTTGCCCCTCACCCCCGTTCTCATTATTCGTCCCCCTCGGAGGGGGCCATAGGTTGATCCTTGTGATCCATTCCCCTGTTCTCCCACGACCCTCCTCTAATCCTCCCGGTATCTCTACTCTCCTTGTTGGATCAAATAATACTTTAAAACAGATAAGCCAGACCTTGTAGTCTGGCAAGAATTGCACTTCTGTGAAACTTATTTTAAAATATTTTTTCCATTTTTTATGTTGCTTTAAATCTAATTGTCTTGAGCTTGTATCCAACAATCTTACTGACCTTGTTTAATAACTGTAACACTTTCTTGTAAACTTGCTTTTGGAAAAGCAAAGACTATGTAACAAAATAGCTTGTAGATGAACTAGTCAAGTTGCATGCTGTGAGTAGAGTCTACATTTAGCAAAATAGCCAAAAATTGTCAGTCAACATTATCCTTGAAACTTCAACAGCCATAAAGCAGAGCACACAAAGCTATGTCTACACAACCCCTTTCAATTGTATAGACATGGAATTTAAGTAAGAAGAACGGATTTTAGTCTTTGATTCCACACTCACTCTAAGTCCTTTTATTCTTTGGTCTGGTTTAAATTGTGCTTTTTTCCTTTTAAAATTTGCCAGACAAATTAGATCAATCAATTGGTTATGATTCTATGATGGTCATTTGGAGAGAAAATTACATCCTTTCCAAAATGTTATGCTATTTAAAATGCAAAAGTTCCCTAATAGTAACCCACCAATAACTGTACTAAGCTTTTTATTTGAACATTCAAGACAAGGCTGGTGCCTCTGTGGAAAAAGTCCAGGAATAATATCCAACTTCTGGATTCTGCCTGCAGTCTTCTGGGAGAATGAAAGGCTCCTGAGAAAGCGACACTTACCAAACCTCTCCTGAACCATCAGGGCCACCTGCTTTCCCACCTGAGTGCTCCCGGTGAAGGACAGCAGGTTCACTCGCTCGTCTTTGGCCATTGCTGTGCTGCATGAAAAAAGACATGGTCACCCAAGCAGGTAAACCCAGCCAGGGCAGCACCTCGTGGCACCCAACAGAAAGCAGTGACACAATGGCCCTTCCACAGTCAGTCAGTCAAAAACAAAAGGAAAACCACCTCAGAGGAGCAAAGGAGAGTTGTCATGAAAACCAAATACAGGTCTCCCAAGTAGAGCCATATAACAAGGCAGAGTAACCTTACACTGGCCAGGAGGAAGCTAAGGAAGAAAGACCTTCCTGTGCCAGGTGGGGGGCTGAGCACAGGGATCGTGGTGTTTCCTTTTATGTCCAGGAAGCATGAACATTCTCGTTTGGGGGGGGAGATTCTTTCTTTTCTTTCACTGATTGGTTGATTGATTGATTGCAGGCTCTTAATTCTAATGAATAATTCCTTTAAGAATTAAAAACTTGAAGGATCATGCCTACGCTAGGATTTCTACTTGCTTTAAAGGAATACGGAGCAGACACTACTGGTTTGATCCTCCTTGCCTGTAGTTCAATACTTCAAAGGGTTCGCTGTGATTCAAGCAGTGTAATCACAGCATCAATCTAGAGCACAGTTGAAAGACCCTGAAGCAATGGTCCAGGCAGATGTCCCAGGTTCAGCCCCACAATCCAGGACAAGGATATACTCAAGGTACCTGTTACTAATGCCCTCCTGCGCACCACTGCTGTAATTGCTTGAGCTATTCCAGACCCAACACAGAGGACTGCATGCTCAGGATATAAGAACAGAGTCGGTCAACAAACAGAATACTTAATGTATAAAGGGCATTTAGCTACACTACACACTGTCTATGTAGGAGTTTTTGTTTTCTAATATTTTCTCATTTATGTAACCAAAAAAAAGGCGAGGGTGGGTGGGTGGGGACGTATCATACCACCTTTCTGAGCTTGCCCAACAAATGCAGAAGAAGGGTGAAACTGCTGAAGGGAGACAAACATTTTGACCGCCCCAGGACGGGTGACAAGAGTGAACTCGTACGATGAGCTGGTAAAGCTCCTTAGCTTTCATCGGGGTTCTGAGATTTATGGTCAATTCTAGTTTAAAGAGAGATTGTGTCCCCAGGGTGTCCTCTGCTGGAAAAATGTAGGGAACAGGTGAGGCTCTCACGTGGGAGTGGTAAATAGACTATACTGTCTGGTCTGAAAGAAAACACCTTCATAAATCAAGTATCAGGAAGTTATGGGCTTCCCACCGTTACAGCAGTTTATTCTTTTAGGATGTAAGCACCGTACAATCACTAGCTCTGAGCAGTCAAAAGGACAATGTCCATTCATTTTCCTCCAGAGGCCATGCATTAATAAACCAAGCACACATTCAAGTCCCTAACAGTCCTAATCCCAAAGAAACACTGTAGTCACCTCCTCGTTCTAGTAGAGAGCCCTCGGGATCCTCAAGCTAAGGTTCTTCAACTGAGAGACACTTTAGACCTGGGACCTACCCAATATCTGCTCCACCACAAGTCATGGAACAAATTGCCCCAGGCAGCTTGTTGTCCTCCAAAACTTTGGCTATTATCCTAGAAAGGAAAATAAAAGAAATTCCTAAGTAAGGTAACTTTATCATCTCTTAAGTTTTTGAAACAGCAGGAAGAAATTTCAACCACTTGACTTCTGTATTTAACCCTTTGCCACCCTTTAAACACACAGATCTGGTTGCACCAGCTCGTATCAGAAATGAGGCTGTCAAACACTTTACCCACGGAAATAATTTCTATTAAATGCAGCTTAAGAAAAACAACCACACACATGCACACACATACATGCCACACACACCTCTGGGAGCTGGTACAAAGACACCTATTGGTGAAGAATAGCTGCTTCTAGGCCTCCTGCCAGGCTGGGCTCCCATTCAAATGCCCTCGCTGGGTACCTACTGTGTGTGGCCTGTGGATTTTGCACCTGTGAGTGATCTGAACATGTAACCAAATTTAGATTCTCCCTCCACTTTCCCTATCCCCTGCCAAGGACATTAGAGGGCCTTCCGTTCATCCGGCTAAAATGGGAATCACAAGAATTGTTTTACTTTTCTGGTTGCTTTGATAAAATCAGAGAATATTTTCCATCACCTAAAAAAATATCAGCCGGCAAATATTAACTCCTACATGAATATTTCCAACTCTTCAACAATATCCAAAGACAGGAAAAAGGTCCAGCAGCAATAACTGGGGATATTTAAAACTAATACCCCACATCAACAATATTTTAACCATCTACTTGATGATGATGATGATGAGCAAGTCGGTTCGCCATGCCCATGAGGATGGTTGTGCTCGTATTTCCTAGTCTTTTTTGTTTGTGAATTACCTGAGGAATCTTTCCATGTTTGTGCGTGCTGTGGATATCAGAGTTCTCATTTAATATTTCATTTGAAAACTCTTGCCAGGGAGGATTCTTACTATTCCAAAATCCTTCCAAGTACATTCTACCACCACTGCCCTCTAAACCAGTTGATCCATTCCTTAGCCTCTTTCCCTAAGACTATCTTCTAAGACTGAGGATTCTCACACACACCAAGTCCACCACAAAGAGTGACCAACAAGTCAACCCAGAGAATGCAGACCATGCAGCAGACGGAACCATCAAGGGTTCAGCATGACGCCATACGGGAGGGCACCCTCTTCTGTATTCTCACCAGCCACTAGCAGGATCATTGTCAGGCTGGCTTAAATGCTTGGCTAGAGCTATAGCGTTTTCAAAAATGAGTAACATTTTGAAAATCACAAGATGAATTATATTTTAAATAGCGTTAGGAGAACCGATGGATTAGTGCAATAACCAAGCCTTTCTTTCTGTTTTACCAACAATCTATATATTAAACAAAAGCCATAAAAGTGTTAGCTAAGTAGAACTCTGTCCTTGAAACCATTAGCTTGTTGAAGAGTTATAAAACAGAGCCCCTAAAATTGCAAGGATCCTTCCTCTTCACTGGAGATGCCGTCTATTTTCAAGTGACAGAGTAAAAAGATCTGCTCCACAACATCAACTTCACCTGTGAGAGTTCAGGCTCCACAGGCACGTCAATAGCTGGCACATCTCCAAAGGGTTACGTGAAACGAGATGAAAAGTTTTGCAAATTGCCAAGTGACATAAACCGTGTGAACATAAAAGCTAAGAGAGACGGAGATGATCTAAATTCCACATTTAAATTAATATGTCACTGGACCACTGGGCAAGCGCCTGTCAATCACCCTTTCAGGATTCTTCCAGACCCAGGAAAAAGAATGTCGCCCACACTCACTTTGTGACAGCTACACTGATGAGGGACGTCGTGGGAGCTCCTTTCCTTGAGAGAGAGAGAAAGGAATTGAATGTTAGAAACAATGCCTTTTATTAAAAAGGAAATGTCTTTAGGAGAAAAAATAGCTCTGTGTAATTAAACTAATTCAAACCAAGTCTAGCAATTGTAATAGAAAACTAGCCTGCAGTTTGGTGTCTCTAGGACTTAAGAGACTATGAAACTTATTACAACGATCACAAAAACAGCGCCGAGCAAGTTCTGAACTTTCTTGCCGCAAGGGTAACAGGAACTGCTACCCTAACCCAGTGACGTGCACGTCAGGCCCGTGGACCTTAGACGGCCCACGAAACATCAACATCGGCTAACATCACACTCCCCACTCACCAAAAAGCAGCAGTTCCAGCCATCACATGAAGCATGAGTAATTCAATGTTGGACCAGCACGGTCCATAATGGAGGTATAAACATCCACATGGGCTTGGAAGAAAAGAGGGAACCTACCCCTCAATAACCTCCAGTACATTTAATAATCTGATTGAAACAATCAACACCTTGCATTCCTCAAACGTTCCATAGAAGGCTGAGGACCCTCCCTGCCCTGTCTCCCCTCCCAAAAAATAGTGGTCATCAAGTCATGTCAGATTCATGGCAACTCTGCGTCTGACAGAATAGAACTTCTATGTTTCAAAGGGTTTTCAATGACTGATTTTTTTCTAAGAGGTTACCTAACTTTAATTTCAAGGTGCCTTAGGTGTCCTCAACTTCCAACCTTTCAGTTAGCAGACAAATGTACTGACCATTTGAACCACCCGAGGACTGGATTACAACTAGCATTTTTGATTGGATGACAGGAAAACTTGACCATCTGGCAGCATAGTCCCAAATCCTCAACCATCCCAACAAGCCTTGTTGTATACAGACAATCTCAGAGTACATTCAGCTAAGTAAAGGTTGAAATCAATGGGAGAAAGATGAGGCTTTCTACTCCCGTAATCATCTACTGTCTCAGAAACCCACAGGAGCAATTCTGTTCTGTCCTATAGGGTCACGAAGAGTTGGAATCAAATCAATGACAGTGAGTTTGGGGTTTTGTTAGTTTTTAAATCAATACATAGCCGCAGAGCACATATAAAACCAGTAAATTTTAGACGAAAAAGTAAGGGCAAGCCAGTCAGGCCTAGTTTTCAATAATAGTTTACCTAGTATAATAACAAAGGCACAAACAACAAAGACAAGAGAAATGGGGAACTCCTCTACCACCCCCAAATTAAAAACTTTTTGTCAACAAAAACTTTTTTTAAAAAGTGAAAAGACAAGCTGCCGAGTAGTTGGGAGAATATCTTTGGAAACCATACTAACCAATATATATAACTTGGAAACAAAAAGACAAATAACTCAATCATAAAATGGGCAAAGGACTTGAATAGACATTTAACCAAAGCGTGATACTCACAGCATCCGCCTTCCCACCCCACTGCCATGAAGTCCATTCAGACTCGTAGCAACTCCACAGAAGGTTGACAAGGCTTTCTGAACATTTCTGAAGCAGACAGCCCATCTTTCCTCCATGGAGCAGCGGAGAGGTTTGAGCTATGGATCATGCTGTCAACAGCCCAATGCTTGTCTGTGGGTGCTGCTGCCTTAGACACCTGACAGAACTGCAAACACTGCTCCATAGGATTTCCGGAGCTGTAGATCAGGGGGAGAAAGATGGGGCACTCTCCTCCCGTATAGGGTCACAGTCTCAGAAACCCATGGGGCAGTTCGACCCTGTCCTAAAGGGTTGCTATGAGTTAGCATCAACTCAATGGCAGTAAGTTTTGTTGGTTTGGTTTGGTTGTTTAGACCATAGGTTCCCACGTTTATTTGGCCTTCCACCCCCCTGGTAACCATACCACTGAAGACAACCTACGTGGAAACTTTTAAAATAGAAATCGAATTTGTTGTGTAAACGTTCACTTTAAACACACTAAAATATTAATAAATCTATCAACATACAAATGAACAGATCATGATATGTATGTTATTACAATCAAATAATATTAAGGAGCCATAAGGAGAAATAATGTTCTGATACGTGCTACAACATGGACAAAGGTTGAAAACGTTATGCTTATGTGAACCAAGTCAGACACAAAAGGGTCAACACTGCCTGAGTTCACTTACATTGACTATCTAGACTAGACTAATGCGTGCAGTCTGTTTATGACAAAGGTGGAGCACATAATGAATGTTACTAGAAGCAGTGGAGGGAGAGTAAGTGACTACTCTTTATGGGGTAATGAATTCCTAGTTAGGGTAATGCTACCCAACACGCTGAACGTTATACATGCCACTAAGTTATATATGCACATTGGGTTGAAGTGGCAAGAGTTTTGCAAAATATATTTCACCAAATAATATTTTTAATGTTATTTAAATATAATTTTTAAAAATACATATCAGCATTTCAAAATGGTGGGCTTTAATTAATATATGAATTTTATTAGTATACAAAGAAGGAGTCCCTTGCAGTGCAAATGGTGAACACAAGTGGCTGTTAACCAAGAGGTTGAAGGTTGGAGTCCACCCAGAGTCAACTCTGAAGAAAGGCATGGTCATCTACTACACACCCCACCACCACCACCACCCCACACACAAAATCAACCCTCGAAAACCCTACTGAGCACAATTCTACTCCAACACACATGGGGGAGGGGGGGCATTCAGCACAAGCTGGAACTAAGGTTATTGTTTAGTAAGTTGAAACATTTCAACATCTTTAAAATGCGTTTAGTCGTTACCTAGAAAGGGTCACTTTGTCATCTGTTTACTACTAGATAAGGATGTGAGCGAGTCTCACCAAAGGCAGACGTTCCCACAGATCATGGCGATGGCATTGTTCCAGCCATACACGGCCACCGGGAAGTTGAAAGCAGTGATGATTCCAACCAGGCCTACGGGATTCCACTGTTCGATGAGTGCATGGCCAGGTCCTGTGGACGGGGACAGAGGAGACACACTAAAATCCAGACAAACTGATCGAAAATGTTCTGAAATATAAAATTCACCAAGATTGGATCATGGGAATCTGCCAAGGTACTGTGCCAAATAAGGACATGCAATATACACTGAAAAAGACTCCCCAATTCTTTCAGCAAGTAGGGAATTTGTAAATAATAAATTAATTAATAAATAGACTATAATATATAAAATAATTTACCGATTATAAATGTAGTATAATTCCCATCATAGGCATTTTATGAAATATAGGAAAGGCAGCAATACAAATTATCAGTCATTCTGCCCCAGACATAACCATTATGAACCACGGTGCGAATCCTTATCCCTGGTGCTTCCCAGGCAGCTGTATGGAGGACCCTGCTTTGCTGCAACCATTGGCAGAAGCTCCTCCCCTCAGCATTAGACCCTCCTCAGAGTACACAGCTGGTCTTGGCAATGGAGTTTGTAACAGGGAGAGAGAACTGACTAACTACATGGTTTAATGGTTAAACAGTTGGTTACTCACCAAATGGTTGGTGGTTCAAACCCATGCAGAGTGTCCAGGAGAGAAAGCCCTAGCGAGCTGCTCTCACCAAGACAAGATGCTATGGGCAGCTCCCCACTGCCACATGGGTTGCTGTGAAGTCAAAATCTACTCTGTGTACACAAGAACAACACCCTTACTGCTCAGTGAGAACCGTGGCTTTGACTCATGGCAGAGTAGGACTGTGCTCCATGGGAGCTGCCACGGCTGACTTCTCAGAAGTGGACCAGCAGGCCTTTCTTAAGAGAGACTATGGGAGCCCTTGAACCTCCAGCCTTCCAGTTAGCAGCTAAGTCATGAACTGTTTGCACCACCCAAGGACATATTACTTCCAGAAGGGTACAGAGTAGCTAGGGAGCAGGAAGGGAACTTTCACCCTTTATTCTTTGATTCCTTTTGAATTTGTGATGCATCGATTTTTTAAAAAGAAAAAAAAGTCATTATTAAAATAATTTAGACATAAGTCAATATAAAGTTATCTGAGAAGTGTGGGGTTAAGGTAGGGAGAGAATCTTCCTAAGTATGATGTTTAAGACATGCTAATAATCCACTGCTATCAAGTCGATTCTGGCCCAGAACACCCCTAGATAGGGTATCCGAGGCTCGGTCATCTTTACGGGAGCAAACAGCCTCATCTTTATCTCCAGGAGCAACTGGTGTCTCTGAAGCACAGTCCGACACTTAACCAATATGCGCCAACGATCTACCAGAATTAGCTTACCCTTTCCCTTACCATATGACAATTACATCATTTCTAAAATTCCCTATTGATAACACAATGAGCATCTTTACATTATTGAGTTAAGTTGTTATCCAGATGGGTTGTGCAATTCACAACGCCAACAGAACCTGAGAAAAAGTGTCCCCCCACCCATGTACTTTTCAGAACCCAGTTTCCTCTTTAAAAGGTTCACAATATGACACTACCTGTTGGCTTTTTCACTGCTTAGTAGTAAGATTAAGGAGCTGAGGTTGTAGTGTCAGGAGCCTGCTGGCGTAGTGGTTATGTGGTAGGTGGCTAACTACAAGTTCAGCAGTTCAAAATCACCGGCGGCTCCAAGGGAGAAAGATGGGGCTTTCTATTCCAGTAAAGCATTACAGTCTCAGAAACCCAGAGGGGCAGTTTCACCCTTTTGAGTTTCTATGAGTCGGCATGGACTCGATGGCAGTGAGAATCGGATGAACACTGGACTGTTAGTCGCAAGGTTAGAAGTTCAAGCCCACCATTCACTCTGAGGGAGAAAGATGGCGGTGTCTATCCCCTGAAGGAGCTAACAACCTTGGAAACCCTGTATAGGGTAGCTGAGAGTTGGAACTGATTTGATGACAGCAAGTTGTGGTTTTTGTTTATTTATTAGTGACATTAACCATACGTTCATAAATTTACAAACCAAAGCCCTTTGTCCCTAGAAATTTTTTTGTAGTTCTTTCTATTTAAGAATAGAAAACAGAAAAAAAAAACACAAAACAGTTTGCTTACGTGACCTCATGACTTACTTTCAGAAGGCAAGATGGGGCCCCCAATCATTCGAGATAAGCCAACCGCATAATCACATATATCCACGTATTCTTGCACTTCTCCCACACCTTCTACTAAGATTTTACCCATCTCCAAAGACACCTAAAAACAAACCAAGCCAAACAGCATTTTTGCAACATGTTTTAAATATTAATTTTATTTTAAGTGGGGGAGAGGGAACTAAAATATATTTTGCATCTGTTTTTGTGAAGTCAATAAAATGCAAGAAAGTTAAAAAAGTTTTTAAAAAAATGCAAGGAAGTCTCCATCTTAAATTTCTAAAGAATTTAAAAATCTAAGAGTTGCCTGCATTTTTTCCTGTCTACCTGTTTGCTCTTTCCTCCAGAGAAGGATTATTGAAATCCACATATCACTTTCTTTAAAAATTCACACTAAAAAAAAAAAAAAGCACAATATTCCAAGCAGAAATGCATAACATCCTTCTCTCCCATCTGAGGATTGCTGTTTGCTCTGAGAATACTTTACCAAGCTTCCGAGCATTTGGATCTTCTCCCGTAAGGCATCGCCGATCTGCCGTACTATTTCTCCTCGTTTGGGAGCAGGGATCTAAGAAAGAATGATAAAATGGTTTCCCTGATCCATCGTGCCTGTTTGCATCTGCAGTACAGTGTTAGATAAGTGTACTGTAGGAGAACAAAGTACCAGCATGGGGAGAAACCCCTTTGATCACCTCAAGACTCGGTAATCCGGCACATCCCCAAACCAATACCAGGGACCCAGCTAATGGGCTCAGCAGGAAAAGGAAACTGTCCGAGCACAGAGAGAAATTCCGAGAGTAAGCAACCTTTGGGGTGATACCAGAAAACTCCGTATCTTAAAACACTTCTTTCCTGCTTCAGCTCCCAGAGCTGTTTTGCAAAGGCAAAATGGTCGTAAGACCAAACCCTTGACTCAGCTTGCTTATACACTGGTATTCACGACATTCAAGCCAGGCCATTTACTCACCCAACATGCGAGCACAGACACTGTGAGGGGAGTAATGCTAGGGAACCAACCAACCACTGGCTGTGAGTCGACGTGAGTCTGGACAAGCGCAGGAGTGACCGAGCAGAGCTGTCCAAGGGCTTTTCAACGGCTCGTTTTCAGAAGCAGGGCACCGCTCTTTGTCCTGGAGCGTCTCTGGGCGGACTTGGAGGTGAACAGCCAGCTGTATGAACTGTTTGCCCCACCGGGGACCCTGAATGCTAAGGCTGGCAGAACAAAGAAGCTGGGCACAGGCCTGGCCGACAGGTATGAATAGTGAGAAGAACCCACAAAGAGAAAGACACAACGGAGGCAAACCGAAATGCAAACTACCTTTCAAAAACGAAGCTTAAGTCAAGCAGGGTACAGAGATCCAAAGACAGTGTTGGGTGAAAGAAAAGCTACTGACTGAGATAATATCTTTGGAAACCATGTCTCTGACAAGGGTCTAATAACCAAAATACAAGAGAGCTTCAAAAAGTTCGTGGAAAATGGAATTAAAAGAAAATGGAATTTTTTCCATAAGCCTTTGCGTTACCTCATATATATAAAACTTCAGCAACGTAACAAAAGTACAAATAGCCCGGTGGTAAAATGGGTTCTGAATGAAAATGTAACCTCAGAGGACATTCAAATGGCTACCGAACAAAAGAAAAACTATCCAACATCCTTAGCCATCAGCGTTGCAAATCCAGCCCAGAATGAGGTATCCTTTCACTCCCAGGACAGGGCAAGTTTTAAAAAATAACAACAAATGTTAGTGAGGATGTAGGAAAACTGGAACCCTTATCCCTGGCTGGTGGGAATGCAGTCAGCAGTACCACTGTTGTGGTAGTACCACCGTCGTGGAAAACCATGCAGCTGTTTCTCAGTAACCTACAATTAGAACGATCATAACACCAATCAATCCCACTCCTAGTTACATAGGCTCAAAGTATTTGAAAGCAGGGGTTCAAAAAGAGTTGGATATTTAAGTTCCTTCACAACATAAACAGTCATCAGATGATGCATAACAAAACATACAATGGACACTGAAATCCATCCTACTCAGTCAGGAGGAGAAAGGGAGTCCTGATACATGCCACAGAATGGAGGGAGTTTGAAGACCCGATGCGAAGGGAAGAAGCCAGGAACAACAGGGCAACTACTACCTGCCCTCACTCAGGTAAAACGATGAGAGGAGACATTTCTTCGTGTTCTCCTGGAGCGGGAGGTCACGGGAAGGAAATTCTCCCTGGTTACGGACAGGGCCGCACAGGTCATCACTCGAATTATGGCCAATAAAGTATACACTGTCGATAAAGTATACACTGTGGAAAATTGAACTTTCAGGAGTTTTTGATACATTTGCAACAACAAAGGATGGTTGCACAAGTTGCTCATGGGATTGGGCTCCTTGGTTAAGAGGTCTCGCGTCCAGGTTTTAAGAAACACCAGAGTTCACTGCTGTCGTGTTGCTGTTTGAGCTCCTAGTGTGAGACGTGTGTGAATGGAGAAGGCAGACTCACACTGAGTAAGAGAGGCTGGAACCCCAAGGTCAACTTGAGTAAGGTACAAGACAGGCCATCCCTTACATACCAGAGAAATAGTGTGATCATCTCAGGAGTATCCAGAACAAAGAAAAAGGCCCAAAAAGCAGCCTAGAGAAACGCCAGCATTTAGCAGTCCTATAGACAAGGGAATCTCATTCATCCGTTTGTCCTGTTTCCGCGGCCTGTGTATTGTTTCTCATACTGTGCTGGCTTATGTGTTGCTTTGATGCTGGAAGTTGTGCCACTAGTATTTCAAATAGCATGGTGAATAGGTTTCAGACGAGCTTCCTCACTAGCACAGACTAGGAAGAAGAAACAAGTCGTCTACTTCTGAGGTATTAGCCACTGAAAACATGAGAAAACAACAACACTGCGTTAGGAACAACTTATCTGATGCAGTGCCCAAAGGTGAGCCCATCGAATTGGAGGGCACTCACGGGGGAAGCATTGCCTCCTCAACGTAGTCGAACATAATATGAATGAAGCAAAGCTCCCAGAACCTTCATTTGCTGGTGATTAAAGGGTGAAGATGTCACTGTGAGGACTCAGGTAGGTTGGGACCTGAGGTAGTTTATTGTGCCAACCTGGCCCACAAACACGTGGGGTTAATTGAAGGGCAGAGGGATAAATGGCTCAGTGAGCCTCGCCTTTCTAGTTCTCAGGTCTCTTGCTTTGTGATGGTCGCACCAGGGTGCAGCTGCCTTAGTCAGTTCCCTTTAGCTGGCAAGACTCACTTCCTGCAAGACATCCCTGAGGAGAAGCCACATGAACCTACCCCGATGCAACCCTGGGTGCTGGGGCAACCGTGGAGACCCTGCCAGGGCTGAGATGCTTACACATTCACTGACTTGGCTTTCTTCCTGCAGCTGGAATCATTGCGTCTGTTTTGTGAAATGGAGGAGGACTTTTTGGATTGGTGTCGGACATATGGACTAATGTTGGACTTGTGGGCTTGGGCAGCACTGGGTTGGGATGTTTTCTTGATGTGCACTTAACCTTTATATAAAACTCTCTCATACATATGAGTTTCTGTGAATTTGTT